TTTGAATGCTCTGACTTTGAGGCTTGACCTAGGCAAAAACCCTAGTCCATCCCTTGGCCGGAACAATAACATAAACTACTAGAAAAAAATTGTAGCACAACTATACATTCCTTCATCTCAAAATGACTCCAATTTCAATATTTAATAAAGATCTTACAATGATTAATTTTCTTAAATTTTAATAAAAATGTTCATTTTCTTTTTCTAATATACTCTTTGAAAAATTCTTTACTAGTATATTTATTGAAAAAATTAGATTATTTTAATAAAATTGTAGAAAAATAATATATTTATCGTTCTAAATTTGTGCATAAATTTTTTTAAGTTACAGTAATTTTAGATAGAAGGAGTATTTATTTATTTTTTTAAATTATTTTTGACCCATCGGTTGCGTTGTAGCACCTAAGGCAGCTCTGCACCCACCAATTTCGACATCAAGGCTGGTCGTAGGCGTCGTCCAGACATGCGGTTGCCTCGGACCCGTGACCAAAAGGGTCCAAAATTTTTGAAAAATATATATAACTATATGATATTTTTATATTATTTTAAAATTAAATTAAATTTAAATTTATTTTTAATATTTATAAAATGAATATTTTTTAATTTTTAATTTTATAATTTTTTTTTCTTATCATTGTAAGTAAACATTTTTTTAGTTCCTGTGCTTTAAGAATCTATAAAAAAAAAATTTATGTCGATAAATATTACAAAACGGTACAGTACCACTTAAAGATAATCACTCAAACTTATAATAAAATATATAAGAAATTAAAAAATAATTCCATAATAATATGAACTAAAAATATAATTTCAAATTTTTAGGGATGAAAAATATTATATATATATATAATATAAAAACTAAAATCAAAATTCTCTCATTTTATAAAAACTAAATATATATTTTAGTTATAAAATTTTTATTTATATACCTAATTTTTTTACTTCTAAATATAAAATTATGATATGATTATAAATTCTTTTTTTTAAGGGATTATAAATTCTTTTTATTATTATTTTTTTATGTATTATATTTATAAAGAAAAAAATATGCTTTTACTCTCTATGAAAAATTTCAAATTTGGGTTTAGTCTTTTCAAATTTTTGTCATACTTTAACTCTTCTAATTTAGAAATGTATCACTTTGTTTTTTAATATTATTTATATAACACCTATAATAAACGACAAAATTGAAATAAATCGAATGAAAAATATAATATATATATATATATATTATAATATTAGGTTATTTATTTAATATAATAAAACATGTTTTATTATAATTAGATATATAATTAGATAATAATAATTTAATTAAAATATAACAAAATTAGATATATAATTTAATTAAAAATAATATGTTTTATTATATTAAATAAATAACATAATATTATAATATATATATATATATATATATATATATATTTATAAAGATTCATAATAACAAGTCATACCAACTTGAAATGAAACAAGTAACCAGAGACTCAGTTACTCAATTAAAATCTTGATTATTGTAAATAAAAAAAACTTAACTTAAAAAGAAATATTCATCTATTTGATATTTATCTAATTCTTAAAAAAAATTGTTCTTATATTTGACGAAAAATATTCATTAATATTAATAATAAATAAGTCATATTAATTTGAATACTATTAATTTAGGATTTTTTAAGTTAAATATTGAGATAACCAATTAATTATTAAAAAAAATCAATAAATATTCCATCCTAATAATAGGAGAATAAAAAAGAATACATATAAAGAATCAGTAGAATGCGAGAACCGGTCCTGATCAACATAAAGAGAAAATAAGAGAAAACATAACATTTGGAAATGAGTAGGAAGCAAATGGTGGTAGAGAAATATTTTATACATGATTCCCTATATATGCAGCTAACTTAACACTCAATTTCCTTATCCAAAGGAAAGACTAAGCAAAAACCAAGGACAAAATAATGTACGAAACGGAGATACGATAAAATTAAATATATATATATATATATATAATAAAATTAAAAATAATAATAAATATTGTATATTATGGGATATATATCAGTACATAATTTTTTGCAGTGATAAT